TATTTGTTTATCTATTCTTTTTATATCTTATTTCTCTAACGTGAATATAATTCAGGATGAATAACAGAAAGAAGTCAGAGCTACATTAAAATGTTTCTGACTGCACATGTAGTCCTATCCTGCTGTTTGTTTTGTCACAGATATGTTCTCCAAGTGCAGAACCTAGTGTAATTCTTTGTATTCTCAAGTGGATACTGGCCCATTTGTGCACCAACTTAGAGCTGGGAGTAGGCAGTTGTTGGAAGGCCTCAGGGCTTATCATATTTCATACTACCTCTGTGAGAAGAATCTGAACTGTACATGTATTGTACATCATGCACCCATTTAAAGTTTAGTGTTCACCCACTCATGCTGTACTGCTCTTAACACATTACCCTAAGCTTTGTATAGAATGTACAATTCTTTTTAAATAAATAATGATCAATGAGAAACGCAATGGATTCTCACATTCTCAATGATATCTCTACAGGCAGCATGGTACTATATTTGATTTTCATTTTTTTTTTCTGTTATATTACATCCTAATTCTCTACATTAAACTATATTCTTTTCCATCTGAAGACTAGTACTGCCTGGATTCACCCCCATGCATGGAAAAAAGAGAGAGAAAAAAAATAATCATCCCTTGGTCAAAAATCGTCTAGATATATATGTGTATATATATAATATCACAACTTACAAGGTTTTATTCACAAATTCAGTAAGTCTACCTCCTTGGAATGTATTTATTTTCAGTGTAATATCTCAAACTATATTGAGGTTGAAATTCTGACATATACATGAGAATCATCTTAAGAGGGATATATCAGTTCCCGTCTTGCTTGCGGACTACCCTCGGTAAATCTTCTACCATATCTGCATCATAATAAAGTAACGCTTATCATTGTTACAAGAATTCAGTAGAGGAAGATACATTCAGGAAACATATGCTCTTATCATGGATATGCAAACACCATAGGTTCACTTTGACAAGGTTGGTATAGTGTAATGCAAATCATTTAAGATGTATACATTTTACAGATAGTCCTACAGGGAAACTGTATGTCAGAGCAACTCTAGCATTAAGGTGAATAAGGCATACAGCAGCTCCTAAAAGGAAACTGTCTATGACATACAAAAACTCCTATATGGAAGAAAAGTATGTCATACATAAACCCCTATAAGACAAAAATATACAGCAAATAGCAGGTCTCATGAGAGTGATGAGCACACAGATTCAGTCCCCTTCAGAAATTGTCACTAGTGAGCAACAGGACTACTGGCTCCCATATATTTGTTGGTAAGCTGCATTTCACTCCACTTGTGATTTTTTTTTCCTTTTTTATGAACATATACACAAGTAACATAAAATAAGGTTTGTCACACCTTAAATTATTAAACTTCATGATATATCTTGCAATGCTAATGAGTCTACTATAATTAGTAATGACCACAATTAAGGGTGATGCTGGTAGAGCCCGTGTACAATAAGAAGCAACAGGCAAGCACATGGGACATACAACTGGGTTAGTGAAATAACTGTCCACCCTGGTATGCTGAACATTTGGAAGGAACACAGCAGACACTGCAAGAGTAAATGGTTGGATGCAATGGTGTCTGCAAGCTCAATCATTCTTTATAAAGTATTGTCATCTTAGGGACTAGAGAACAGAACCGTGCAACTGTTACCAGATCATTTCACACTATTCCAGAAAACATTCTACCTCTCATAATGTATATGCAATTATGACATTCATTGGCTCCTACTACATACTTTAAGGGAAAGTTTCTGAAGAAAAGACCAGTCAGGTGGGAGGGTCTGATGAGAGGACCTCCTCATTATGTATCTCTTAAATGTTAATGAAACATGATAACCAGATTGTATTGTCCCTATAATATACAAGGAAGGAACTAACTCCAGTCTATGGAGCTCTGTATAAATGCTGTAATACCCTCTTTATTATCATAATAATAATATTTTTTTTTTTACACAAACAGATAATACACTGATATTTCCAACAGCTGGGTTGATACTGTGACCAATGTATCAGGAGGCTCATGAAAAGATTAGGTTGTTGAAGAGGTCAGAGACTGATGAAGAAGTCAGTGGCTGAGGCTTTGCTTATACCTGGGATTGTCCATGTCTCACTTTGTAGGTACAGAGAGTGTATTGGGGTGGCTTCCTCCAGATGTGTGGCGGCTGCGGCGACCAAGCTTTGATCTGACAAGAAAGAAATTTGTATGATCTATATTGAGGGGGTTTAATTTGCATATATTATCATATATGCCAAACACAATTATGAAATGATATCTTAATGTGAAATGCCTAAATTTCATTCAGTAACTTATCCAAAAGTCAAAATATAAATAATAAAAAGAAAGAAAATCACATAAATATATTTAAAGAATGAACCAAAATATTTCAAATGAGCCTACCATTACACTCACAAATACATCATACATCATAACAGGATGTATGATGCCTGACAGCTCTCAGCTTACCTGATCTGCCCAGCCAGGAGTGGATTGATAGCATAGAGCCAGTCATGCACTTCTTTGTCCCCGAGCGTCTGCAGAAGGAAGCCTCGCTGTTTTGTCACCACACTGTAAAGAGAAATAAACGATTAAGGTGTCTAGTCTTCATACCATGTTTCAGTATCTTACAGATGAAAGATGTTTTTCTCTCCTCTTCCTATTTATGTGCATTTATCTAGCTTTACTGTATCATCTTTATCTTCTCCTGATTGTCTGATCTTATGCAAGGAGCTCATCCCCCCTAGAAGAAAAAAAAAAAAAGAAAGAAGAAAAAACAAACAAACAAATAACAAAAAAAAAAAAACTTTTCTTTTTACAAGATTACCGACATATATGAAAATTAATTATTAAATAAATCAAAAAAATAAAAGTAAAAAATAAATATTTACAACTAATTGAGACCAAATAAAAAAAAAAAAAAAAAAAAAAAAAAAAAAAAAAAAAAAAAAAAAAAAATCATTAAGTAACCGTGATGGAATAACTTCAAAATTTGAATGAATGATTTTATGTGTTTTTTGTGCATATACACACATAAATACATAACAGTACTATATTCCTTTTCTCCCTCTTTGATTTGATCTTAATCTTGCTTTCTATTAAAGTATTCTAACACAAGAACTTCAATGCTAAATGAAATATACTAAGGAACACATATATAAAATAATGAAGTTACTAAATATTTAATTAGTTGGTACTAATCATCTCCTGAATTTGACTTGTATATTTCAAATGTACTCTGTATTAAATATACATTTTTCATATTCTTGTAAGCTGAAAGTTATCTGTTGAAACATCTAAATAATACATCTATATCTTACAAGCACATGATTACAGCCTATTCAAGATGTAATGCCATCTCACATTTCTAAAAGATTATAGAATTCTCCTCTGTTAAAGAATACTCTAAATTTGTAATGTCCTAGGAAATACTGGGCAGCCTTCAGTAATGGTAGACATACCCTACTTTGGAATACCAAATGAATGACATGAATATCTTATTCAATAGCTACCACTTACAAGTATTGTTTTATCTTTACTTTTTTTTTTGTTATATATAGTGGCCTCTGGTTTTGAGGGCCTCCAGGCAACTACCCAGCTTACCTATCCTAACCCCAAACCTTTTCTAGCCATATCTCAAGTGAAATAAATAACATCTGATGGTCATCCAAACTGAATCTATAGCCTTGTCAAGCGTACACAACCAAAATCTCTAGTTCCTGCCTTTTCCTAGCTTGAACCCCAGCTGAATGAATGTGCTCAAAGCCAGTTATAATGCAATGTGGTTTATTCACTACAAGGTTTTTAAAGTAACCAACCAGCTTAATCAGCATCAAATAAATAGCTGACAAAGTAGTCACATCATTGTGCTCAAACAGTGAAATACTTTTCATATTTAGCTTGCTGCTGAGTGCAATATTTGTGTTGCATTTCAGTAATTCCTATTACTGACTTTTATTTTCTTATATCATTGATGGAGATTGTCATATATATTTTTACTTTTACTCAGCTGTGTATAATCTAGTAAAATAGACACAGATCTTGGTACAACTTAGGTAGTATGCAAATGGCACACAGAATAATTATTGAAATGACAGGGGAAGGACCTTCACTATATCATTATTCAAACATCTAAACTCTCTTAATTAAATATTTTCCTGTATGGAATCTGCATACCGAATAACAAAATTCATCATTCTGAAAAGCAACATTTTCATAAGTGTCATCAGCATTAAAGCAATCAAGCCATGCCACTTTCTCCACACTGTTCTTGAAGCTGTACTTTTTGTCCAGTAATGTGTAGAAAACATGGACTAATATACCTGCTGTTCTCCATCCTAGTTACAACCGAGGGGAAAGGGGAAAATATATTGCTCTTTGTCTATAAAACAATTGTGATTCAAATAAACATCAACAGATATAAACAGTTATGAAGAAAGAAAAAGGGACAGATGTTTCCTTCTCATTATGTCTGTGTCTCTTTTTATTTTCCCTTACATTTTCAAGTTATTACCTTATGCTTGAGGTACCCACTTGTAATAAGAGGGTTCTTTCAACCTTAAAGGCTTATTTAGCACATCATTAGACTTTATGTCAAGGCTCAGTATCAAGGCAAAAGAAAAAGATATTAATAATTATAATAATAATAATAATAATAACAATAATAATCATGTGAGATTGACTCCTGGAAATAATAATAACAATAATAATAATAATAATAATAATAATAATAATAATAATTATCATTATTATGATAATACTAATTGTAATAACAAGAATAATGATAATAATAACAGTAATAATAATAATAATTATAAATAATAACAATAATAAAACAACAATAATAATTATAAATAATAATAATAATAATAACAATAATAAAAATCACAATGATAATAATAATAATAACAATGATAATAATAACAGTAATAATAATAATAACAATGATAATAATAACAATAATAATCATGTGAGATTGACTCCTTGTGACTTAGTGCTTGCAGAGTCACTTATACGTAAACAAAATAAACTAAAATCACAGAGGCATCAACAGGTAAATAACACCTACTTTATTAGCATTTCTCCAAGTGTCTTTAGTTAATAAAAACTATAAAAAGAGCTGTGACACTGCTATTACTCTTCCCACATAAGCCTTGTAGCAGCTGCATTAATAATAGCTATAATGATAACAAAAAATCTTTGTTATAATCATAGTGATGGTTTGAAGCATATGCATATATCAATAATTATGATTAAAATAGGTTGGTAGTACTAGTAGTATAGGCAGTAGTAGTACTAGTAGTGGAAGTAGCAGTGGTAATAGTAGTGGTAGTAGTAGTAGTAGCAGTTATAGTAGTAGTAATAGTATCAGTGTTGGCAGTAACAATTGAATTAATAATAATAATAATTATCATTATTATGATAATACTAATTGTAATAACAAGAATAATGATAATAATAATAATAACAATAATAATCATGTGAGATTGACTCCTGGAAATAATAATAACAATAATAATCATGTGAGATTGACTCCTTGTGACTTAGTGCTTGCAGAGTCACTTATACGTAAACAAAATAAACTAAAATCACAGAGGCATCAACAGGTAAATAACACCTACTTTATTAGCATTTCTCCAAGTGTCTTTAGTTAATAAAAACTATAAAAAGAGCTGTGACACTGCTATTACTCTTCCCACATAAGCCTTGTAGCAGCTGCATTAATAATAGCTATAATGATAACAAAAAATCTTTGTTATAATCATAGTGATGGTTTGAAGCATATGCATATATCAATAATTATGATTAAAATAGGTTGGTAGTACTAGTAGTGGAAGTAGCAGTGGTAATAGTAGTGGTAGTAGTAGTAGTAGCAGTTATAGTAGTAGTAATAGTATCAGTGTTGGCAGTAACAATTGAATTAATAATAATAATAACAATAATAATCATGTGAGATTGACTCCTGGAAATAATAATAACAATAATAATAATAATAATAATAATAATAATAATAATAATAATAACAATCATAATAATAATAATAATTATCATTATTATGATAATACTAATTGTAATAACAAGAATAATGATAATAATAACAGTAATAATAATAATATAATAATAATAATATTAATAATGATAATAATAATAATAGTAATAGTAATAGTAATAGTAATAATAATAATAGCAATAGTAATAATAATAATAACAATAATGATTAAAACAAATAAAATATACATAAGGGAAAAAAAGTTAATATATAAATGTCATAGAAAAGGCAGTTAATCCTTACTCTGTGGAGGTTGTGGAAGAGCAGGAAGAGGTGACCGAGGTAGTGAGGGCATCTTGCTCATCGTTAGGTGTCTGTGCTGGAGTTCCTTGCTTAGCGTGTGTCTGTGCGGATCGGCCCTGTAAAGGTATTTGCTTTAGCAGACCTCTATTACATGTGTGATGTCCAGGGTAACAGCTTTTTCAGAAGCAACATATACATATGCCATTCAGGATATATTCTGAACTATATATTCATTTATTTATTTTTTTAGCAAGCTGCAACTCCTGCAATAACCACTTACCTGCATGAGCCTAATGAATTTGAAAGCTGTATCCTTCTCTGCTTCGCTCATGTTTTCAGAGTCTGTTGAGGGCAAGTCTCTGGAGGAACAGCGTGCCAATACAGCACGCGCATCGCAACCGGCCTTGGCTGCTTGATTAGCCACCTCCTGCATACGAGGAAGTTGGTTAGGATGCTAAAGGGAGAAAAGGGAAATTCAGCCTCCGAGCACTAGTGCGAGACCAATGAGGAGCTGATCAAAGTGTATCTTCAGTTTGGTCGAAGAGATGAGAACTTGTGAAGCTTTTGTTTTTCTTTTGGCACTAAGGTGAACAAAAAAAGGTGAAACTAAATGACACAGATGACGTGATATAACACTGCAAAGTCTTTACGTCAACAAATGTCTGTGAACAATGACACTGTAAGCATAAAAGCAGGTGTTTGAAAGTCTTTTTTTTTTTTATCTTTAATTCATATAATGATACACCATGCATAGTTTCTTGACAAACATCCATGCCTCTGTATCTACTTCTACTCAATTGTAAAAAACAACTATTTACAGCATATTTACAAGAAGAACAAACTAAATTTTTTATTACTTAGTGTTATTTAAGCAATTATTTGATCAGTGATTGACTGTAGATTTCATGCAATAAAAAATACATGCAATTAATAAAGAATGTTGAAATTAATCTTGGAAATATAATAAAACTTTACCAATTAATCTATGGCAATTCAAACCAAGTTCTTGGGTAATGAAATGTATGTATGTTAATAGGGGAGAAAATAAAATTACGTGCATAATGCTATCAACATACTAACTACTGCCATTATCTTTATCAAGAGCATTAATGCATGTTGTTAACTTCTTACCATAGACAATACGAAAAATCAACAACAGCAACACTGAATATGATGGTACTAATAAAAGTAATAAA